TTTAGGGGAGACTTACATGCTTTGTAGGCAATATTTGCTAGTGGAGCAGGTCAGATACTATGTGACTGTCAAACTGAACACATATAAAAAAGTGTAGATGTTTCTGTACCATGAAAACAATCCCATCTTCTTTAACCTGCAAGCAAATGCTTAAAAACACATAGTCATAGTCATAAATCCGCCTTTTTGCAACAAATCTATTCTTTAAGCATGTTTGCTAACATTTGTTACTTACCTTTAGTCCTGCTAATCATAAAATAAAACCACTTTTTGGAGTCACTAGCATACAGTCTGGTGAAGTAGCAAGCAGGCCTCGCTTTTAAGGCCTATTTGCCTTTCAATAGTGTGACCCTTATGTTTTATGGGGGAGACTAACACCATGAACTACATTTGTTACAAATTAGGCTTCCTAGTGCTGTAAAGTTGACACCTGCCACTTCAAACCTTTCTTTGGAGAGGAGGACGGCCATTGATAACCGACTAGAAAGAAAAAGCAGCATTAGTACCCGGTAATGAGCTAGGCTAGCTACCGTTAACTCACGTCCACCTGGTCAAACTGACCGCAGGGTCCCAAATAACATATTAAAAATGCTTTGGTTTGTTAACACAGTCTTGTTTGGTTACTAAATGGTCTCTTATCATCTCAAAAACACATATTGTTCAAAAAATTATCAGACAATTATCTTATATCCATCAAAAATAATTATTAAAAACATTTTCACCTCAAAGGCACAAGGCGACAGTACCGGCCTTTGACCACAAGATGTCGCCAGACTCAACGCTCCGCAACTATATATGTTGCCTTTAGGTGCTTCTCTTAAGGTCGTATTTCTGGGTTTAGTTATAGTATAAGGATACATATGTAAGTTGTGGATTCTTTTTAATGAGTCGACTACAATAAAAATTAACGGCGGAACAAAAGTATCATATATATATATTTCTGTATAATGTATGTAAGTAATTTCCCTCGAAACTTTACCGGCAACATGTTCTTGTTCGGACTATCTAACAGTAATGGACTTTCACTATCAGACGTTGTAATTATTGATTGTTGATTATCTACAGGTCACTGTAGGTAGCAAATATCTGCTCTGATAGTCCTATTACTTGAAACATCGTTTGTTCCCGAGACAAGAGCTTGCAATTTCCCACAGCACGTAAAGCTACAATAATCCCGGATATGACAGCATAACCACAGGACCCAAACTTTAGCTAGTAGCTGAAGCTGTAGCACAACAGCTAAGATATCAATATTCAAAATAAAAAGCTGTCGGAAGCACGTTATCTTGTGTATGACCGATTTCGACGTTGATATGGAGCTGTAGGCAGAATTTATAAACGAAGGTAATGGTCTCAAACTGGGTTTTACTCTTTCATGTGAAATACACTGTCACTATGGGGTACCGCTATTTAGCCAAATTGTTTTTTTTCCGTAGCTAGCAGTAACAGTACAACCTGTTTACATTTTTAATTTGACACTGTGTGAACTGCTGTGAAGGTTAAACGCCGATCTGTTCGTAACTAGTTGTGGTAAAAGCCATATTGTACCATTAAATGAACTTAATTACTACAGTGGCTGATAAGCAGAGCTGCTCAATTGTTAAATTGTTAAACGAAATCTGAATAAAACTCATATTCCACACAGCTTTGACCAGCATACTTGTAAGACTTTTCAGCGAGTTTGGGGAAGACACTTAGCCCCCATCGCCTTTGTAATCAACAAAAAGTCTGGCATGATTAGTGCATCCCTGACTACTGATCCCTTCCCTGTCAGTGTTGAGGAATGGTCTGACTGCAGCAGTACCAGTAAAGATGCACAGCCGTCTGCAGGAGTTGAAGAAGGAAGAGGAGACTCTCCTCAAAATCAAAGTCATGCTACAAGACCAGCTGAACAGGCTGAAGGTGAGTGACAGAGTTCACAGCACGAGTGTTTTGGGGTTTGTGGTACCTGTGCTTTTTATATATATATATATATATATTTATATTTATATTTAATGTGTTAATTCTGTGTTTCAGTTTGAAGAAGGGGCCTTGAAATCTATCATTAATGCTCAAACAGAAGAAGGAGCCTCTCAACGTTCAACCCCAGAAACTGAGGTAAATCAGATTAAGGAACAGCCCTGCTCAGATGTCACAGTCTGTCATTTTAAGATGGAATTATATTGTTGCTTGTGTTTGTTGATTAATTGACTTTTAAGTGGTTTGTGGAAATGGAGGATCAGATGTTTTTGTTACACTGCTGTACGGTCTTACTGGGGATGTTGCAGTCTGCAGGCCTGCATTACCTGACTGATCACATTTAGATTCACACAAAAACCAGGTTACTCTGAGTAATAACATTAAGACAGGAAATAGGTAAACATGTTTATGTTTATGTGGTTTTGCAGTAATCTGATTACTGCAAAACCCCAGTTTAGATACAGTACAACAAAGGTAGCCAAGAAATCATGTTACACCAGCAGAAATGTTGCTGAGTTCCCTGGGTTATTTTTTAATCCCTTCATCTGTGGGGAATAATAATAATATTACAGTGCACATGGAGGCACCGAATAATTCATTTTACTCAGATACATAGCTGTTTTGAGGACGCTTGTCTGTGTTATTTAGTAATTGAGAGATTGAATTGTGGGAATAATCAAATGTATACTTCATTTACTACGCTGAATAACAAATACTCCCCTTTCTGCTACTAATGCTTCATCTGTGCTTCATCACAGGTATGCACATATTTATTTGACATGTCGTTTTTTTTCATTGTTTCAGGTTAATATTAACCTTGACGATGAAAGCGAGATCAATCAGACCAAACTGCTACTGAACGCTGCTGTAGATTATGATATGGAGGACGACGACGATGATGAGGAGGAGGAAGACGAAGAGAACGATGAAGAAGATGAGAACGAGTTTGAGTTTGTGCCTGAGGAGGATGAGGAAGAGGATGATTACTGAGATTCTCAGTGTTTCATGGGGCTTCAATATTTGCACCACTGAAGAGAAAAACACATGTAAACGGACATCTGTTTGTTTGTTCACCTGTTTTGTACTATCACTTAGGAAGTTTAATTTATTTGGATGGAGTGAGTAACAGTTACAGTGTAATGATGTGTGGTGCGAACAGTATCCTCTCCTCTGCCTGATTGAAGGCATGTCATCCAGATTTCAAGTTATGTTAGAATAAACCTTTTTCACAGCAGCCATTTAGACATGAAATAGTAGGGTAAACACAGGTGTAACCACTGACTAATTAAGGTTCTGTTCCATTAAGTGTAGCAAAGTCTTTCCAGTGAGCCACCATGCACAATAGCAGCACCCTGATCATTTCACCTGAATGGAAAAAAACCTTAGTTAGTATGATTGGTAATACCTGCGTTTACCCTACTATCTCATGTCAAAACGACTGCTGTGAAAAGGGTCTATTCATGTGTCAAATCTTGTGCGAAATGTAGTAAGACAGTGTTATTAGGTGCTTATAGCTTACTATACATATTGTGCATTTTCAGGATTAACATTAAAATGTATGGCTGGGCCATATAAGAAGATAGTGTGTATGCATTATGTAAGAAATGATAATTAAGCACAAAATAAAATGTTTTGCATAGGGTTCACCTGTCTGATTTTTACACTGTACACATACGGTTATGTTTTTCACATGTAATGCATGTTTACTTATGGGCAATAAGAGGATGCATCCTTTTGTTAGTTTCTTTCTCAGATAGTGAGTTAATGGTAATACATATATAAAATTGTCCTAACCTGACCCAGGCAAATGAGTAATGCAGTGCAAACACTTTCCACTAGCAAACCATTCAGCATTTTCTAAACAGCTAAAACAATAGCCTGACAATAAGGCCAGCTTTCACACTGACAGCAGGGACAGCTCTGGAGAAGGGTGGTGCTACAACAGGCAATGTACAATAGAGATTGCACCAATAGATATATACAGCTTTCTACATGGTCTGCTGTTCCAGGAGAGTTCCCATTCACCAAGGGACTTGGGCTCAGCACACACACCTGCAAATGAATTCTTCATAAGAGGTAATTGGACACCTTGTTCTACACAATTACTAAATTTTATGGAGTGATGGTTATGGATTCTGCACTGATTCTGATCTGATCTGATTTAAAAAAATATTTTAAACAAAAATGCATTAAGGAGAAAATTACATATTTGGAAGAAAACAAAGGTAAACTTGACAAGCAATGTATTTTACTTAGATTTGCAGGGAAATTTTTTATGTTCTATGTATGAACTTATTCTATATTTTTGGATTTAAAGTTATTATAGTGCAAGTTTGCATTATATGATATGTCCTATGCATCACACTGATTTCATTCACATTGGACTATAAGACTGAAATGTGATACACCTGAACACCTGGCATTTAAATTATTCATGAAGAGAATTAAGTTTTGATCACTTAAATCTGGACATTAACCATGAAAATATAACAAATAGCATCAATTTCTTTATAAATGGCAAATGATGAGGTTGTGAAAGTGACCATATTCACATTTAGTCCATATGTGTGTGCATCCACTGTCATGTGATTGAACACTAAATATCTCGCTAACATTAACTTTGCTTACAGAGGTGAAAACCATAGTTTGTATGGGATCTGTCTGCCTCAGCAAGATGAGCTCACACTCCATTGACTTTGAAAAGGGGTATTTGGCTCTGCATTAGGGATGTGGGACCCCCCGTAGTCAATCACATTGGAAGCTTTCATATTGTTTGACGACAGTTTATTCTGATTATATTGACAGTTTTTCTGTTACTACTGTGTTTCTTCTACTGTTTCTATTTTTTCCGGTATTACTTTTACAAAAGAGGATTGTACGCGTGTGTGTATGTGTCTTAAATATAACAACATGTTTGCCCCCACACCAAGCTTGTTATTGTGGTTAAGTGGAGATGCTAAATGGTTCTCATCTGTGTGCAGACATCAGTGAGGGACTGGAGCAGGACCAGACAGTGACTGTGCTGCAGGCTCAGGAGTATCATGCTGCCCCGCTGTGCGTTCAGTGTGTGTCATGTGTTTGTGTTGGTGCTGTGTTTGTCTTCGGCTGAGGACTTCGACTGGACAAAGAACGACCACAGCTCCTTCTATTATGGCACTTTTCCAGCTGGTAAACACATGTTCTTTTCTTCAGTGGGACAGATTCAGTGCACTCACTTATTTGGTAACTGGTTATATCATCCATCCTAAGAGTCATCTAACTCACAGTTGAATGGTTGTTGCCAATTTTGTATTTGTTAGGATTTTCGTGGGGTGCCGGCAGTTCAGCCTATCAAACAGAAGGAGCCTGGGACAAGGATGGAAAAGGACTGAGTATCTGGGACGTGTTCAGTCATAAGAAAGGCAAAATCCAACGAAATGAGACAGGGGATTCCTCTTGTGAAGGCTACCACAAAGTCAAGGTGGGTTGATCATGTGTGGTGTGTCTTAGATATAAACGATATGAGATATAAATGCAACATGATTCCTTGATTCAAATATTCCCCTCCATTGTGTGTATATGTGTGTGTCGTGTTGTACAGGATGATGTTTCTTTGATGAAGGAGCTGAAGCTTAACCACTATCGCTTCTCCATATCCTGGCCTAGACTCATCCCTACTGGCATTAAGTGTGAGTAACAGCTGGTAATTCAAGTCTTTTGGAACTGAGCTGGTGTTTATGATTGAATTTGTTAATTGCTAAAGCTGAGGAGTTATGTATATTTTTTTGCAGCTGACCACATCAATGAAAAAGGCATACAATACTATGATGAACTGATTAACCACCTGCTAGAGAACCAGATCACTCCTATTGTTACTCTGTATCACTGGGATCTTCCACAGGTTGGTATACAAAATACTGATAATCCCCAACTTCTCTAACTTTTTGCATTACTGCACTATTCCCCTTTACTGAGTTACTGTACCCTTTGCTTTCCTAGGTTTTACAAGAGAAATATGGTGGATGGCAGAATATAAGCATGGTCAATCATTTCAATGAATATGCTAACCTGTGCTTTGAGAGATTTGGCAACCGAGTCAAGTACTGGATCACTTTCAACAATCCATGGGTAGGTTCTTTTTAAATCATAGAGCTCAGATAAGCATGTATATACCTGTTATTTAAAGTACTATTAAGACACTAATATGCCATAATCTGCTAATCTGATCAGTCTGTAGCGGTTGAAGGTTATGAGACAGGTGAGCATGCTCCTGGACTAAAGCTGAGAGGAACAGGGGCGTACAGAGCGGCCCATCACATAATCAAGGTAGGAGAATAAATATATATTCAGTCAACAAAAACACTCAGCACTTCATGTGCCACTTTGAACTGAAATGTAAATCATATTCATTATATCTTTTTCATAGGCACATGCTAAAGTTTGGCACAGTTATGATACACAGTGGAGGGGAAAACAAAAAGGTAAACAAGTTCAAACTCTTGAAAGTAATATATTGACTTAATTCAGTATCTCCCTCTCAACAGTACTGTCTGTCTTAGTGTTGAGACCTGCTGTTCACATCTGCAGGTTTGGTTGGCATCTCTCTGTCTGGTGATTGGGGAGAACCGGTGGATATCAGCAACCAGAAAGACATTGAAGCAGCAGAGAGATATGTCCAGTTCTATCTGGGCTGGTTTGCCACACCCGTCTTTCATGGAGACTACCCACAAGTGATGAAAGACTTCATTGGTAAGATTAATTGTAAGCAGTTAATCCTGAAGTAACATCAGCCATTGGGGAATTAACTTATGGCTATCATAACTGTGTGTGCAGGAAGGAAGAGTGTCCAACAGGGCCTTGGGACATCTCGCCTGCCATCATTTTCCCCCCAAGAGAAGAGCTACATCAAAGGGACCTGTGACTTCCTCGGCATCGGTCATTTCACCACCCGCTACATCACCCAAAAGAACAACCCATCAGGTCGTAGCAGCAGCAGCAACTACTTCACTGACCGTGACCTGGCTGAGCTGGTTGATCCACGATGGCCTGACCCGGGGTCTGAGTGGCTTTACTCTGTGCCCTGGGGTTTCAGACGTCTGCTCAATTTTGTCAAGGTGACTTATAGTGAATAATGCAGAACAGTCTTGATGATATTTGTGCTGTACCTGGAAGCAGCTCAGCACACTGCAACTCTAGTTAAATTACATTAAGACAGCTTATTGCACTTCATATTGATTTGTTCCCCATCTAGACTCAGTACGGAAACCCAATGGTTTATGTGACTGAGAATGGAGTCTCTGAGAAGATGTTGTGCACAGAGCTGTGTGATGACTGGAGGATACAGTATTATAAAGACTACATCAATGAGATGCTGAAAGGTGAATGAGCTCACACACGTGCATTTTTTTTGTTTGGAGTGAATCTATTCAAAGATTAAATTAATCCAACTCACTCTTTGCTCTGGTGTCACTCAGCCATCAAGGATGGAGTCAACGTGAAGGGCTACACTGCATGGTCCCTGCTAGATAAGTTTGAGTGGGATGAAGGCTACTCCGAGAGATTTGGCTTGTACTATGTGGATTTCAGGAACAAAAACAAGCCTCGCTATCCCAAAGCTTCTGTTCAGTTTTACAAACGCATCATCAGCGCCAATGGATTTCCCAGTCAGAGAGAAGTAAGAGACACAAGGTGGTTGCTACAAAGCCCTGACTCTAATCCTGTCCAGACAACGTTTTCAGATGTTCTGTTTGAATGATAACATTGAGAATCACTGTTCAATGCTCCACTGTGCCACAAAAATAATTCCAGTGCTGATATGTGATATGATTGTAAACCCCCACAGGTTGAGAACTGGAGAAGGAAGGCTGTTGAGACTTGTTCTTCTAGCAACCAGCTCCTAGCGGCAGGTCAGTTCGTCTATAACATTCCTGACCATATTTAGCAATAATCAGAGGTGAACAACTAGCTGGGGTAAACAAATAAAGATTCTGACCTAAATATCAAAAATGTGCATATAGGTTTTAAATGCAATCAAGAATTTTAATTTGACTTGAATTTGTGTTGCTGTTCAGAAAACACATGAACAAATTACTAGTTAAATAAGAATGAGGGAAATATAAAACATAATTAACAAAATCTCTAACAGAATGTCTGAGATATCTTCTTTGTTTGCCCCTCCAGCTAGAAGAAAATCCAAGGAACATGCAGAAATGCCAAAGGTTTGGCCAGTGCATGATGAAGTGTAGAACTTATGAGGGTATATGTCTTCCATTCATGTCATTTCTTTGTTATTGCTTTTTGATGGTGTGGTTTTAAATCTGACTAACAGAATTAAGCCTCTGCAGTTTAACCCCACAACTTGCCTCTGAAACTACGTCTTCCTTTATCTGACATTTTACTAGTGTGCTTTAATCTAATTTGCAACCAAGAAGGACCCTTTTGATTTCACAGCAGCTTTGACAAAAAGTCAGTAAGCATAAAGCTTATCTGTGGACTTGTGCCCATGGGGTATTTCACAAAGCAGGATTACACTGTTTTTCTTTTTTTAGTTTAGTCAGATAACATAATGCCAGTGAAACTGTTAGTGATGGATCTTGAATTTAGAAAGCAAAATGTCAGCATTAGGTTATCTGTTGATAATGGATATTCATAAATAACATTTCAGGAGATTAGATTTCTATAACTATCTGGCTTTGGTACAAATGCTGCTTTCAGGAATATTCCCCAGTAGCTGCATGCAGTTCTCAAAGGGTTAAAGTGCCGTTAATCAACTCTGAGTACTTTCTCTTTTTTTATTAGAGGAACAGCGGAGTACTGCTGCCAATATTCTAAGACTTATACATGGTAAGGAATCACTCATGTTCACTACAAATTAGACAAAAGATAATCTGATTCAGGGAAAAATATTAACCCTTTGAGTGCTGTGCTTGAGCATCATTATTTGCTTCATAAGCAGTGTCTGACCTTCCTAATAATGCTAGTGAGTTGTTAATGTGTGTGTGTGTGTCCTTTGCAGACCCTTTGACCAGCCACATGGAGATGGTAACTGAGATTGTTGTTCCCACTGTGTGCACACTCTCTATTTTGCTCAGCGCCATCTTCCTTATGTTCCTGCTGCGGAGGCGGAACTAGAAACATCAACGCACACACACACTCATACTGTAAATGCATAACTTCTTTAATGGATCACGTGTGAACAGAAATACATTATTTGAACTGAATTTCAAGAGAATTAGTGACTTCATTAGGTGATGTGCAATAATAATGAATTTAATACCAGACACTCAGACTGTGTGGATAGCCCTGCAACATGTTGGATTTTATTATTACAATATTGCTGTGGAATATTACCATTGCAAACAGCCCTTGTGATGTACTGTACATTGTGTTTTCATTTGGTTAAAACAGGGAGTTGTGTGGAGAAAAAAAAGCCTCTTTTAAAAAAAAAAAATCTCTTTAACTGCTACACTGAACAGAAGAAATTCAGCAAATGTGATAATAAAGATGTGATTAGAAAACCTATGACAGTGTCACAGAAGATACATACAAAAGGACTGAAAGTTATTCATTCAAAACGTTTGACAGAAAATCAGTATATAAACAGAATACACTTTAGTAGAATACAAAAATGACAATAAACCCCTCTTGTTGTTCAGTTTTGCTCTGTGTACATTCACGCAAAGCTGACGAGACTGCAGTACACCATGGTGGAGAAGAAGGCAGGATCCTCACTGTCTCCGTTCACGGTTTCATTTTGGTAATCTAAAGACAGTTAAGAAAGAAAAATGTTAACTGTACTGTACACTGTGGTAGTAACTACTTAAATACTTATACTTACACTATAGGAACTATACGGCATGTACTATATTTGTGGTGGTGCATTAAACATCACCTGTTTCAAAGATGACATGATCAACCAGTGGTCTGTCACTGAGCTGTAAGGATGTCCTGACCTCACGAGGACCGTGGCCACTGGACACCTCAACCCCCCACACTGCTGGGTGCTCTCTGAGAAACATGAGGGATGACACAACAGCCCTTGTTAAGACTTTGCAGTTGGTACTTACTTCCTATACAGTACATGCTGTGATCCAACTGTGATGCAGTGTGAAAGAAAATGTATTTCTCACAATATTGAGCAAACCCCATGAACACATCTGAATACAGTTGACTTGCTTCTTTTAAATTTCATACCTGATGAAGGGGACAAAATCCACGCCACAGAAGTCATTAACTTCTGTTCACCTTACTAGACACTTTTGCATGGTGAAGCAAATTACTGGTTTGTGTTAATAAATTGAATAAAAACAAGATATCTCAACTTCATTTACAGTTTTCTTTGGATATAATAAAATAGTGTGCAAAGGGTTGTATTTCTTACTTCTGGTAGAAATGGCTGATCAGCGCAGGTTTTATTTGCAGTTTAAATTCATGCTCCTCATCATATGGGTATGTTTTGTAGTGCTGCAAACATGATCTATGAGAAATGGAATTGTCTACTTTAATGTCATCTTCAGGAAAGTACATTCTGCACACTCATAAATCACTGGAAAAAAGCCAAAATTGATTTACTGTGTGAGAAGGAAGAGCCGGTCGTAAGGCAAACCCAGGAAAGTACTGCAGGTCAAAATTATTTCCAGCAGATGGTGCAGTTTTCTGAGTCGGATCACTTGCTCCTGCAGATCAACCTCTGTGCTCAGGAAGTAACACTGTAGAGTAAAATATTCAAACTCATTGGTAACATTACTAACATAAGTAAATAAGTAAATAACATAAGTAAAATAGCCTTAAACTTAAACTTACCAAGTGGTTGAGAGTTGTCAATTCTTCACCTGAGAAAATTAACAGTTGCACATAGTTGAATATCAAAGCAAAGTTTGTGCTTAATAGTTCATATGCAGTGAGATTAAATGTTTTAAATGTAAAACCTAAAATCTCATGAAAAGGACGTAGGGTTATACAGAGATTCAGGGTGATAAGTAAAAGGTTACCAATGAGGTAGTTAATGTAATCCTTTCTCATCTTGTCCAGACCCATCTCTAACAGCATGTGGACAGGGGTGACACCTGTGAGAGACACATGATCGATCTGCTGGTGGTAGGACTGCAGGATCAGCTTGCTGAGGGAGCTGCTGCTGTCTCTGTGAATCTGGAGGAAGTGATAGAAAACAAAACAAACAAAAAAACACTTAACACACAGCAACCATCAATCTTTTTCTCAGTCTTAAACAGTTTTCAGTAGTATAATTTCATACCCAGGGTTTAATGTCACCGTATCTTAGGGCTTCAGTGACCAATTTCAAGCAATCTCCGATGTCTTGATATGAAGTCACACCTGTAATGAAAAACAAAATGGAGGAAAATGATTTCAGCTTGTAATGCTAAATCAAATTAATCCTAGTTTAATAAAGACACTGACTCACTCTTTCTCATCCGAACCCACAGCTGCTCCACAAAATCCAAATCCCCTCGTTCCATGAAAGAGTTGAAAATTTGAGTCTCTGTCTCAGACTTCATCTTTGTGGTCTTTAAGAAAAGATGAAGAAGCAAGATAGTTACCTCATTTATTCAGAAATGAGTAAACTTGTGAAAAGTCCCTTGATTTTAACACCATCCTACCTCAGCTGGTTTTGCAGTCTGCTCTTGTAGTGTCTTTGCAGTGCTCTGAAGCTCTGAAAGAAGAGTTAAAAAAAAGATCTTCTTAACTTTCTGTTAGCATTAAATCACAGTGAATGTGCATTTATTTAACAAAGCTGATACCTTCTAGCAAGGCCTTGGTTAGCGTTACAGCTGATGTGCTTTCCAAAGGTTCCATCCATTCAGTCTCACCAGTTCTCAAACCATCGGCAAGAGTCTGAAACAACAGGAGGAATCTGATATATCTAGGTGTTGTTGTTTTTTTAATTGATACTCACGATCATTCATCTCGCTGTGAGATACAAACCTGAAGAAACTCTAGCTCCCTGTACATCTCGAACATTGGGCTCCTCATGTCCCCACTGGCAACTTTGATATTCTGCATGTGAATAAAGATAAATAGGGCAAGCACACCAAAATCCATTACTTCATTCAGTATCCTAAAATTCAACTCTATATACATATAAAAAGTAGTATTTATGGTAAGTAGTTTTGAGTGTTAATTACTGGTGCTTACCAGTGTTGCTGTAGAGGACAGGGGTGGGGTCTCAAGGATACTCTCCACGTGGCTCCATTTAAAATCCACCGTCACACTACTCTGTGACTCAATGGTGGTGTTTTCAACAACAGTGGAGCCAAACAAGTTGAACCTGGCACTGCCTTTAATCGCCATCTGGAAGCGTTGACAAATGTAAGTGAACGAACATTCATTCACGCTGTCTTACAAGAAAGGATATGCATTCACTTACCGAGGATGGGTGATGCCTTTTCTTGTGCTCTTGTTTAAGCTCGCCCAAAGTTACGAGAGATTTTTTGTCCACAGTTGAGCCTAACAACGTTTGAGTTGGAATGCCAGAAACATCAAAATCAAACAGGAGTACAAATATTCACTCATAATATTTTATGGGTATGTTATTCAAAGAGCTATGACGCATTTGAGATATACCTTTGCAGGTTACGGAGTATAATTTAACACCAGATACTTTATTGCCCATGCAGACTGTTTCAGCTCCAAACCAGGTTGTTCCAGATGGATCAGACATGTCACATCGCACCCACAGAGGGTGTAAAACAAGGTTGTTGTCCACAGCTGACACATTAGCATTTTGAGATAATGTGTACCAAGACAGCAACTGCCTATAAAAAGAGAAAGAAAATACTACATTTTGATCGTCATCTACAGTGTATTAGCTACACAGATTACATAATCCTACCAGCGCTTGCTTTATTTGGAAGTGTTAAGCTTTTTAGCATCGGTCACCTTGCTTTCATGACTGTGAGCGGCTGTGGTCCCAATTCTATCTGGACTGCACTGGCATCCTCATCATCGTCATCCGTGTTATCCTCAGCGCAGTTTGGTGTTTTAGTCATTTTTTGATCATCGGGTTCATTTATTTTTGGAACCTTGTAAAAATCACGAAGAAACACGATGGTCTAATGGTGTGCATTAGTGAGGAGTTAACAATATTGTATGAAAAAAACGTATCCGCAGGTTACAGTAAACCCCTTGCTTTTACTATGGTGCATGGTTATAATACACAATAATGGCAACTGAAGTGAAATTGAAGGTTAGTGCAGTAAACTGATTCATATTTAAGCTGTTAAACTGAATGTTGACCGTCTCATACCAACATTAACATCTTGGTGATGTATCAGATGAACCATGCACCAAGAAACCATAGATTTCTAAAAAAGACTGTTCTTGTGTTACTGAACTTACACATTACACAGTAACACTCGTCTAGAGCTTGCAGACACCCAACAGAGTATATTTAATAAGTCACAGCATTAACACTACTCACAAGTTTTTCACAGATGAAGACTGGCTGGTTGCCACAGTACAAATTCAACACAGGGATTCTGTCTCCATTCATCTTTAATATTTGGATGTCCTCCTGAAACCCAACATATACTGCATCAACATCATTACCATAACACAGATTAATTCATATTTAATTTAATACACCAAACTGCGACAGATTCTACTTTAATTTAGGTACAATTAAATTACCTCATATGTACACGGATCATTGCTTTCCTTTTCTTGAAGAGACCTTCGACCCAACACAAATAACACAACAAAAAACAACCTTACTGTACGTAACGTTACGTGATAAGTTGTTGTTGTGGAAAAGTAGTGAGCACAAGCTAAAAGCTGCCTGCGTTCATTTAAGTACACTCACCGAAGAACATCGTACAACTCCTTAGCACAAGATATCATCTTTGAGCCCATTGCAAAGGTACAGAACAGATCTCCTGTTAGGGGGAAAATAACGTGGAGGAAATGGATAAAAACGACGTTAAGAGGATTTAAGAGGATTTAACAGACTTCTTGGACTTCCGGCTGCTGCTGTTTATATTTTTGACAGTCGCGCGCTAAACTGGGGCGGTGACGTCACGAGGTCACAGGTCACGACTTTATCGTTATATGTTCACGTATCAGAAATTAATAATGGAAGTCAGCGAAATCCACACAGCGTCATCACAAAATAAACTATGAAACGTAAAAAAAATAATAATTTTTTTTAAAGAAAACAGTTTACTAAGAAAATAGTTCGGCTTTTGTGGTCATCGTGCGCCAACATGGCGTAAAGAAATAGTCCCGACTGTAGCAAAAAAAAAATTTAAATTGTTTTTGTTTCGCTAGTATAATTTAAATGAAAAATACTAACGAAATTGTTTGATACACTCGTACAAATTTATGATGTGTGTTTCTTAGCGATAAGTTAAACGATGCTGGAAAATGTCTATGAACGGAAGTGATATTCGTCGAGGCGGAGGCATAAACCACTCGGGGTGATTTACCAACTTCCTTTTTACTGTGGCCGCCATAGCGAGAGGAGCGTGGTCCCCGGCGAGCCGAAAAATAATTATCGAAAATGGTGAGAAATTGTAGCCAGATTGTTGTTAATACGGAATATTTTGTGCAGGCTTTATCTCGTCGTTTTTACTTGTACAAATAATCCCGTGTTTTCTGCCGTCGGGAAGCTCAAATTGAGATTTAAAGGCAGTGAGTTGGTTTGCTCCCGGCAGGCGAGGCTAACACGAGGAGCCATTTTGGACGAACAGTTAAACCAAAGTTACACGTGTGTTTGTCGCTGCTAGACCTCTAACACGCAGATAGCAGATGTCACTCATTTAGATGGCATCTGCGTTTTGATTTGGTCGCTGTAGAAAGTACTTGTGGTATATAAGTGTATTTATGCACTGAACGCCGTCTACAATGATTGAAGAAGGTTAAAACTGGGTTGATGTGCCACGTTAGCATAATCGAGCTAAGCTAAGGCCATCAGCCGCAGATTTCTTGGGGAACTTTTCTCCCTGATGTTAATGGACAGACTCTGCTGCTATTAATGTTAGTAGAGCGACAGCCACACTTGATAATACCACAAAAATACCACTGATTGCCTTAAACGCTAGCAGTTTGTCTGCTCGTACATACTAGATAAGACACATCTTAAATTATATACTTACTATATACTATATATACTATATACTCAAAAGTGCCACTGGTATCTTGGGAGTAAGCTTTTACCTTCTCAAATGCAACGTTATGTGTCTCAGCAGCATGTGTAAAGCTCATTGTTCATTTTGCTTTCCAGGCCTGTGCCCGACCCTTGATCTCGGTTTACTCCGAGAAAGGAGAAACTGCAGGCAAAAATGTTGTCATGCCTGCTGTATTCAAGGCTCCAATTCGCCCTGATGTTGTGAATTTTGTTCACACAAACATGCGCAAGAACAGCCGCCAGCCTTATGCAGTCAGTGAACTGGCAGGTGAGTGTATATGCCGGTCCTCAACTCGCATGTTGATCAAGGTCTGCTCTTATAGTTAAGATTGTGGTTCAGATCATACATTCACAAATCTGGTCTATTTATTTAGTGTCTGTAATTTAGCTGTGTAATTGTTTGTTTCAGGTCACCAGACAAGCGCAGAGTCCTGGGGTACAGGAAGAGCTGTGGCCCGTATCCCTCGTGTGAGAGGTGGTGGTACTCACCGCTCTGGCCAGGGTGCTTTCGGAAATGTATCCTTTTGACCAGAATTCAGGCTTACTTTTTTTTATCCTCACTTTTTGTATGTGTCCAAGGAAACTAAAACTGAATGAATGAACACTTGCCATGATGGTGTAATTTGCGTCTGATTTTGTGAACAGTGACGGTTGCCTGCCGTCATATGCTGGCACAGAAAGCTGACGACCAACTGAGTCTGAGCAGGTTTTAGGTACTTCAGTACTTGTGTTGCTGCAGGAGTTGTCAAAACCTCCTTGACTCTGATCTAGATGTGTCGCGGAGGACGCATGTTTGCCCCCACCAAGACCTGGCGCCGCTGGCACCGCAGGATCAACACAACCCAGAAGCGCTATGCCATCTGCTCCGCCGTGGCCGCCTCTGCCATTCCTGCACTTGTGATGTCCAAAGGTAAGCTCCAAAAGCAGTATTTGAGGAGGACAAAAAGTCTTGTAGAAATGTTTGTAGTGCAGCTTAACGTGCGTCTTGCCATGATGGTGTAATTTGCGTCTGATTCTGTGAGCAGTGACGGTTGCCTGCCGTCTTTAAGCTGTCACGGGGAATTGATGAGTGTTTAATTCTGAGCAAGTTCTGGTAATACTAGTCTTTGACAGTCACACAAGTGTGTATGTAGATTGGGTTGACACAGTAGTCTTGTCTGTTAGGACACCGCATCGAGGAAATCCCTGAGGTCCCACTGGTGGTTGAAGACAAAGTTGAGGGCTACAAGAAGACCAAGGAGGCCGTGCTCCTGCTGAAAAAGCTCAAAGCCTGGAATGACATTAAGAAGGTAATATTTCTTACATTTGGACTGACTCAGCACTCAATTAGGGAATGTGATTTGAAAATGAAACGGCGAATATGAAGTTGGGTGCTAATTTCAGCTATACTCGCCTGAATTAGGCTGCATAAAGCATGACTAGGATCTTATCTGATGTTTTTGATAGTCTAACCTTTAACATGATACTTTCAGTAGGATTAATTAAGAACAGTTACCTGCATAGGTTTAGCACACTTATTGAGCTTTACTAGTTAGTTTTATTTTGTTTAATGGCATATTGAAGTTATATAAACGTTCTGTTCTCAGGTCTACGCCTCTCAGCGCATGCGTGCCGGTAAGGGTAAGATGAGGAATCGCAGACGTATCCAACGCAAAGGACCATGCATCATCTATAACCAAGATGCTGGTGTTACCAAAGCCTTCAGAAATATCCCAGGTATGTTATTTGGTCAAATGCCGAATTTGTTATTGTTAGATGGATATCAGTACAGTATCTTATTACTTTATTTATATTGAATACCTAACAACTTAGTTTGTATGCAGTGAGTATTACAGACTAAAATGAAGATGAAAATGGGACAGTGTAGGGACAAAGGCAGTAAGACTGTGCTATCCTTTAGACCCCATAGCTGTGTAGTTATGCAGGTGTATAATGACTTTTTCAATCTTGTGGTTATCAAAGTTTTGATTAAGTAAAAGTAAATTACTTTTTAAAAGAAGCAACCTATCTTTACCTTATGTGACTCCAACCTGGTGAGTGTTTAATTATTGTGCTGTATTGTATTGAAGGCATCACTCTGCAGAACGTGAACAAACTGAACCTCCTGAGGCTTGCCCCTGGTGGTCATGTTGGACGCTTCTGCATCTGGACAGAGAGTGCTTTCCGCAAGCTGGATGAGCTGTACGGCACCTGGCGTAAACCTGCTTCCCTGAAGATCGGCTACAAGTGAGTATTTAAGAAGTAATGGTAAATAGTGAAACTAATGTGGATTACATTACAGTGATGAGCTTCCACTTCAGGTCCGTGTTTTTGAAACTCTGTGATATTTAAGAAGTTCTGAGTTTTAGCATCAAAAGGCAAGACAGTTTACTACTTAACATGATGAATTTTAATCTTAAATTATTACTCTTTATTTTTTTCCAGCCTGCCCATGCACAAGATGACCAATACCGACCTGAGCAGGATCCTTAAGAGCGAGGAGATCCAGAAAGCACTTCGTACACCTAGGTAAGCACTGCTCAGTTCTTGATATTTTTGTTTAAAAGCTTGTCAACTATGATGATGTTCCACTTCAGGTCCGTGTTTCTGAACCCTGATTATATGGAAGTCCTGAGCAATACAGTGTTTCCTGAAAACTTTCAGTTTAGCAGAGGTTCAAGTTATTAAGACCGTCTTTTATTGTCATTACAGCAAGCAGATCAACCGCAGAGTACTGAAGAAGAATCCTGCTGGACTTGGAGGATATGCTCAAGGACTGAAACCTACCCAAGACAGCGAGGACGTCATTGGCCATCCTAAGACGACCCCCTGCCGGTAAAAGCCTAACAGTCAAGCTGGAAGGAAAAATGTAGACTAATGTAGAATGTGACTGTGAACTTATGTGTTGTTCTTCTCCGGTAATCAAGGCTAAGACTGCTGAAACTCCAAGAGTAAGGCCTGGGAAGAAGGGAGCTCCCGGCCAAAACCAAGCATGATCTATAAATCTTTTTACAGACTGGAGTTCAGTGATAAAATAAATCGGTTGATTCAAATGCACGAGTCAGACCTGTCATTCAAAAATTTGATTTACAAGACTATTTATTTCACAAACTAACAAAGATTGTAATCTGATGCTGAAAGTACACAAGGTAAAGAGGAATATAAAGCACACAGGTTGCGCAGCAGTTAAGATTACATTTAATCATTAAAAAAGTATGACTGTACAGGCACGCCTGCAGTGTAGTCCCAAAGAATTGTTTTAATGGTTAATTTCACTTGGCATGTAGCATTTGCACTTAATTTACAACTATTAATTTCACAACCTTTTAAACTTATTTAGTACTCAGTGTGAACATACTTTTTACCCATAATGCCAATTCACTTATTAGAGGACCATCAGGATATCAGGTTTGTTGTGGATGTGTTTCACATTTCTGAAACATGGATGTCGTTCTGATTCCACTGGTACACTTGGTTTTTAAATGGAACAACAATTCTAAAGTAAACTGCGGATTTCATTTTGAAGGCTGTTGTTGGCTGGTGTTAATCCATTTTGTATGGAAACGGTAGGCTCTTTATACAGTCCCCTCAATTTTGGGGGAATCTCGAGTGTGTTTTACTCACCTGAAGTAAAACAAACTAAGCTGCAGCACAATCTGAGTAAAGCATGACTGGGTAAGATGAGTCGCAGATGGATTGAACACAGAAGACCGTGCATCATCTACCACAAAGTCACTGGTGTCACCAAAGTCGGCAAATATCTCAGGTGCGTTGATCAAATGTATAATTTATTACTGTGTTAAGTAAATGTATATCAGAACAGTATTCTAAGTGTTCATATTTAATACATAATGTATAATTCATATCCTTTTTATGGGCTTAAATTAAAATGAAAATGCTGCAGAATGCTAATCTGAACCACCAAAGGCCGCGCTGGATGTTGGACCCCACTGCATCTGGACAGACGAGCTGTATGGCACCTGATGTAAACCTGCTTCCCTGAGGCTTGACTACAAGTGAGTATTTAAGGAGCAATCACTTTTTAGTACAGGTTAAACTAGTGCTGGATCACTTTACAGTGATGAGCTTCCACTTCATGGTCCGTGTTTTTGAAATTCTGTGATATTTAAAGAAGTTCTGAGTTTTAGCATCAAAAGACTAGTCCGTTTTTCTATCTGAATCAATTTCAACATGAATTAATTCTCTATTTATTATTTATTCCAGCCTGCCCATGAACAAGATGACCAATACCAACCTGAGCAGGATCCTAAAGAGCGAAGAGATCCAGAAACAACTTCATACACCTAAGTAAGCACTGCTCAGTTCTTGATAGTTTTAAAAAGTTTGTCAACTATGATGATGTTCCACTTCAGGTCCGTGTTTCTGAACCCTGATTATATGGAAGTCCTGAGCAACGTGTTTCTTTAAAATGAAACAGTTTAGCAGAGGTTCACATTGTTAACACTGTTATATTGTCATTACAGCAAGCAGATCAATCGCAGAGTACTGAGGAGGAGGAGATCCAGAAAACACTTCGTACACCTAGGTAAGCACTGCTCAGTTCTTGATATTTTTGTTTAAAAGCTTGTCAACTATGATGATGTTCCACTTCAGGTCCGTGTTTCTGAACCCTGATTATATGGAAGTCCTGAGCAATAGTGTTTCCTGAAAACTTGTAGTTTAGCAGAGGTTCAAGTTATTAAGACCGTCTTTTATTGTCATTACAGTAAGCAGATCAACCGCAGAGTACTGAAGAAGAATCCTCTGAAGAACTTGAGGATAATGCTCAAACTGAACCCTTACGCCAAGACAGCGAGACGTCATGCCATCCTTAAGCACGACCCTGCGGTAAGAACACTAACAAGTCAAGCTGGAAGGAAAAATTGTAGACTAATTGTAGAATGTGACTTTGAACTTATGTTTGTTCTCTCCATAGATCAAGGCTAAGATGCTGAAATCCAAGAAGAAGCCTGGGAAGAAGGGAGCTCCCGCCAAAACCAAGGCATAAATCTATAAATCTTTTTACAGACTGGAGTTCAAAATAAATCGGTTGATTCAAATGCACGAGTCAGACCTGTCATTCAAAATGTTGATTCACAAGACTATTTATTTCACATAAACTAACAAAGATTGTAATCTGTTGGCGCTGTAAGGACACAAGGTAAATAGGAATATCAAGCACACAGGTTGAGCAGCATTTATCATGATTAAATAATTTGATCATTAGAAAAAGATGGCTTTTCAGGCAGGCCTGCAATGTAGCCCTGAAAATTGTTCAATCATAGTTTGTTAATTTCACTTGGCATGTAGGTGTGTACACTAAATATACAACTATTGGTTGCACAACTTTTAAACTTATTTAATACTCTGTATAAACAATACTTTTTTACCCATAATACAAATCCAGCCATTAGAAGATGTGGGGGTTTTCTTGATGACAGGTCTCACACTGCTGTACCGTGGGTTGGTGTCACAGGCTGATTGAGTCCAATGGTACTGCACAACCAGCCAGCAAAGTCAACCTGCTCTGCATCAGACTGTTTGATAAAAGAATGCACCTGAAGAAAAGGAAAGATGTGTAAGATGAAGAAAGATGTAGCCAAAGAGAATACAGCTAAATATACACTCACCGTCAACTGCTTCAGGTCTGCTCTCTCTGCTGGATTCTTAATCAAGCTGCAATGGAGACAAACAATCTGAGAATATAGTGCATTTTAACACCACTAGGTGGCATAAAGTCTGATTGGCAGATGTGGATATTCCATTGGTACTGATGTCAGTAAATATTACGATTTATATTAAGAAAAAAAGATTTGTCCTGCATACCATTTATTCACAAAGTCTTGAAATTCAGAGCTAAATATCCCAGGTAGCTTTGGCGGAGGCTGAAAATGAAAAGGTCCAGTCAGTACTGAATGCATCAAATGCATTACAACATGTCAGGATGGGGTAATATAGTTGGCACACTCACCTCATTGACGATGTAATCTAGCAGCTCAAATATAGCCATCGGTGGTCTGCTGTCAGGTCCGTATGCTGGCGGGTAAAAAATAGAGATATCAGCCTGTGTCGTCTGCACCATCATCACTCAACTAAATAAATAAAAT